ACACCGCCAGCAGAAGTCATGCCTAAACCTGTAGAAGCTACTAGCACTAGAGCGGTAACGCCGATGAAGCCCAGAATCGTTTATCCCATTTCGCCAGGTGGCACTGAGATCAAGCCTCCTCCGATGCACCGGTCGCCTAGAAGAGGAACTAGATCACCTTCACCCGCACGAGCTAAAACCATTGTTCCCCCTCCTCAACCCGTTGTCGAGCCACAGTCGGACATTCAGCGGCTTGTGGTTGCTCTTGAGGCGCTGAGACAGGGTAAGGGTTCGGAATCTCGGGTAGAAGATGTTAAAACTGTTCCGGAGTTGCCGAAATTAGAAATCAAAGATTCTGAAAAAGAGCTTATGCCGTTGATCGCTGGGGATTGGTTGGCATTGGTGAGCCCGTCCATGCGAGATTTGAGTGCGAATGCTACGCAGTGGTGGTCAGAAGTTCTAGCCGCATCAAACGAGTATTATGCTACTTGGTTAGCCGCTTCCCCAATTGATAGAATCTCCCTGAAACCCACCAGGCAAGACCGATTTGACACCGGACCCTTCACACGTGTTGAACAACGAGCGGTTTCACTTCTGTTGAAGGCAGTACCAGCAGCTGTCAAGGACGAGGCGGTATCGCAGCGACGACTGTCTTCAATAGAGTTGGTAGGTCTAGTCCTTACCACTTACCAGCCAGGCGGCCTTAGAGAACGCAGTGCGCTACTAAAGTATTTAACTGCACCAGAAACACCACAAACAGTAAGTGAAGCTTTGCGCGGAGTGCGTAGGTGGACCAGGTGGATACGACGAGCTACTGAGCTCGATGTGGCAATCCCTGATGCAACATTGCTAGTTTCAGGACTGGACATTCTCACTTCAAAGGCGTTGACAGGTTGGCCAGAGGCACAGTTTCGCCTGCAGACGTTTAGACATCAGCATAGCATAGATCATGTGCCTAACCAATCAAAAGCCATGAGCCTGGGACAAATGTTGCAGGCAGAGCTTCAGGTGATTGAGAATGCAGGTGCTGGTAAGAAGCAGAAGCTAGCCCGGATAGAACAAGGTGAAAGCGCGAGTGGGGATGCTGATAAGGGTAAGGGAGACGATAAAGGTAAAGGGAAGGGGAGAGGCAAGAAAGGGAACGATGAGAAGAATACGGCGGGTCACGGGGGCAAAACTCCTTGTTGGCACTGGATGTCCAAGTACGGGTGTAGGCTGGGGGCTCAGTGCAAGTTTGCTCATGATCGTCGTGCCCTTATAAGCTCCTCGGATTCTAGCAGTCGCTGCTACGAGTGTAGTGGCGTTGGTCATAGATCGGCGGACTGTCCGACTACCCGCTCCACTCAGGATGCCCAGACCTCGGATGATAAAGGGAAGGGTAATAAGGGTGGGGGTAAGGCGCCTGGAAAGGGTGCAGTGATAAAACGTGTGGAGGAGGATACTGCAGTCAATGACGGCCAGAAGCAGTTATTGGCAGCAGCAACAACACTCATTGAGAAGATGCAAGCGAAGGCTTTGGCAGAGTTTCCACAGTTGCACAGACTGCAGGGTGCAGGGGAGCGTACGGGGTTGATTGACAGTGGGGCTAGTTGTTGTCTTCGCCAGGCGCGCCAGGGAGAGACCATAGGACTAGCTCGCAAAACGGTAGAGCTAGCAGCTGGCACCACAGAGCTGTTTTCTACTCCATGCGGTACTTTGTTGTCTAGTGAGCCCGTTGAGGCCATAGTGGCTTTGGGCCCTCTCATTCGGATGGGATGTAGGCTCGATTGGAGAGGCCACGAGTGCGTGCTTTGGCATCCGTCGCAGGGACGCTTACCGGTGGATATTTCCACCGGGTGCCCTCGGGTACCGGAATCGGTAGCTCTAGAACTGATAGAACAGGTGGAGCAACATAACATCAGCACCGCAGGTGCAGCGGTTCGCGCCCTGCAGGCTAGGAAACAGTTGTCAGAACCTGAACAAGTCATAAGTGCACTGACGGATGCGATTATTAGGGACGATGTGGTTTCCGAGAGGTTGGGTGAGACCGCTTTGACTCTTTGGCCATCGGTGCCACTGGAGATTCTGCAGCATTTGACTGCATGGGCTAAGGTAGATTCTAAGTCTATTGTCTTCAACCGTCGAAAGAGGAGAACAGTTGAGAGAGCTAGCAAGGTCCTGCTTCACTTGTTTGCGGGAGAGACTCGGAGAGAGGTTGAAGCGCAAGGGGTCGCGCTGGGATATGAGGTGATTTCGATTGGGGAAAAGGAGGACATAACCTCTCCACAAACATTCGGATACATCATGAGTCTAGCTGCCCAGGGTAAGTTGGATGTGGTGTGGGGGGCACTCCCCTCTAACACGTTCAATGTCAGTCGCTTTTTGCAACCAGAGCCTAGACCGTTGAGAGGCCGTGACGAGCATAACCGATGGGGGTTAGACGGTTTGAACAGCCAGGAGCTCGCCCAGAATAGGAAAGCGGATGAAATGCATCTGCGCATGTTGTTGATTATGCATGTTGCAAAGGATGCACGGGAAAAGGCTGGTTTGCAGCCGCCGTGGACCTTGGTGGAGGCCCCAATGGATCCGGAGTCTTATGTCGATCAGACTAGTAAACTTTGGGAGTTGTCAAGGGCTGGAGGGGGCTTTCCTTCGTTTTGGTCGACTGCCGAATATAAGACGTCGTCCAGCATCCTTCAGCACACCTTGTATAATGGTGATCAGGGCCCATACGGTCATGAGAAGCGCAGGCCTACGGGTTGGTCAAGCAGTCGCAAACTTCCATCGTTACATCGCGGAGTCGGCGCCGGATATGGGGATGGAGCATCGGATAAGAGGGCTCAGACCTCAATTACGTGCTCAGGTTGGGCCCCTGGGATGATCTCGCTGTTGTTTGATGTTCTGAGGGAAGATGCGGTGCAGCATAAGGTTGCAAAAAGCGAGATTTCGTGGGAAGCCCATATCAAATCGGGACATTGGCCGCCATGTAGGCGGTGTCGAATATGCATCGCGGCGTCGGCGCGTCACCGAGCTCACAAGCGCATATCGTCTCCTGCATCATGGTCCCTAGCGCTTGACACAGTTGGACCGTTTCGGAAAGCCGAGGATGAAACATCTTCTGGGCTACGGTATCTCCTGGTCGCGTGCTTGTTGGTGCCGGTGGATGGGTCTGGGAAGCCCGTGCTTGGACCGGACCAAGAACAGGGCAAGGAACACGATGGCGCGGATGAGCCGTCAGGGGGTGTGGGAGTTGTTGTTGCGGGAGCCGGTGGTGGGAGTGCTGATGCTCATGATGAGGAACAGGGTTGCGAAGCAGGTGGTAGTACAGATCAACCACATGCGCATAGCGATGATGTTGATGATGATCTTTGGAATGAGCTGTTTGAACCTGATGAGGCCTCGGGGTTAGCGCCTGAGGCAGATGAAGAGTCGTTGCAACTCTGTGTTCGGCAGACCGAGGGCTTAGATCAGTGTGAGGTGGAAGGACTGCATTGGCGAGAGCTCGTTTTCGTCGAGGCAATGAGGCGCAAGACCCCTACCAGCGTAGCACAGTTTACCTCAAAGATTTTGGGAGAAATTCGGGAGCTTGGGTTTCCTGTTACGAGAATCCACTCGGACGCAGGGTCGGAGTTCATCACGCCTCAGATGCGGGCACTAGCAGCTAGAAACGACATACGACAAACCTGCGCCGCTCCTGAGGAACATGATAGCAACGGCAGGATAGAGAACGTCATCAAGCGTATGAAAGCACAAGTTCGAATCCATTTGCATGGACCGGACGGTGGCCTGGAGTTGTGGCCTGTAGCAGCACGGGCAGCTGTATCTAGTTGGAGAGCATCAACGCTGCAATCTATGGGCATGAAGATACCATCAGTTGTTCCCTTCGGGACGAGGGTTCAGGTTTTGACCCGGTCGTGGCTAAGGCGTCATAAGCAAGCATGGTCATTGAAAGCTACGTCGGCTACTGTGCTTTGTCCCGCCTCACTCGTTAAGCTTGGTTACGTAGTGCGAATAGGCAAACGCCTGTCAGTAGTTACGAAGCTCTTTGAGGGAGAGGATCCACCAGTGAGGGCTGTACTCAACCAGGGAGACGCAGAACCGCCGCTTGCACACTCGATTGGCCCTGAAACAAGGATTACTGGCAAGCAACCCAGACCTGACATGTCGATCGTCCCGGCCCCAAGAAGCCGCGCTAGAGAAAAGGTTCCAGGCCCCGGTAGGATTCCTAAAGCCAGTAAGGTAGGAGCAGACAGTGATGAACTAACTTTGTCTGTAGCAGAGCTTCCCTCGAAAGCTGGTTCTCAGGTACCGAGCGAAAATCGCACGATAGGGGGAGCCTGCCCAGATCAAGAAGTTGGAAACGATGTCAAAAAAGGTTTGAGGCCCCAACACCAGGGTTGTGAAGATCAGCCGCACTCGCATTTCGGTATTAGAAAATCCGGTGCAATAACCGGAGCCGCTCGCAAGTCGGTTGGTCTCGATGTTGGGTTTGAGGTTGGTAAT